TTAACCTATTAATGTCATTAACAACCTATTAATTGTGTTTGGGGGTCTATCCATTTTATTAGGGGCTCATTAATTGTCATTAGTGACCCAATAATTTAATTAGTGGCCCATTAATTGTTATTAGGGGGCTATTAATCGTTATTAGTGATCCATTAGTTTAATCAGTGACCCATAAATGATTATTAGGGGGTTATTGATCACTATTAGCGACCCATTAATTGTTATTAGGGGGCTATTAATCGCTATTAGTGACCCAATAATTTAATTAGTGACCCAATAATTTAATTAGTGACCCATTAATTTTTATGAGGGGGCCAATAATTGTTATTGATGACCCATGAATCATTAATAGGGGCTTATTAATCACTATTAGCGACCCATTAATCGTTATTAGGGAGCTATTAATCGTCATTAGTGCCCCAATAATTTAATTAGTGACCCATTAATTGTTATTAGAGGGCTATTAATCGTCATTAGTGACCCAATAATTTAATTAGTGATCCATTAGTTTAATCAGTGACCCATTAATTGTTATTAGGGGGGTTATTAATCACTATTAACGACCCAATAAATGCTATTAGGGAGCTATTAATCGTCATTAGTGACCCAATAATTTAATTAGGGACCTATTATTTTGTATTAGGACCTTATTAATTTAATTAACGACCCATTAATTTTTATGAGGGGGCCAATAATTGTTATTGATGACCCATGAATCATTAATAGGGGCTTATTAATCGCTATTAGCGACCCATTAATTGTTATTAGGGGGCTATTAATCGCTATTAGTGACCCAAAAATTTAATTAGTGACCCATTAATTGTTATTAGAGGGCTATTAATCGTCATTAGTGACCCAATAATTTAATTAGTGACCCATTAGTTTAATCAGTGACCCATTAATTGTTATTAGGGGGGTTATTAATCACTATTAACGACCCAATAAATGCTATTAGGGAGCTATTAATCGTCATTAGTGACCCAATAATTTAATTAGGGGCCTATTATTTTGTATTAGGACCTTATTAATTTAATTAACGACCCATTAATTTTTATGAGGGGGCCAATAATTATTATTGATGACCCATGAATCATTAATAGGGGCTTATTAATCGCTATTAGCGACCCATTAATTGTTATTAGGGGGCTATTAATCGCTATTAGCGACCCTAAAATTTAATTAGTGACCCATTAATTGTTATTAGGGACTAATTAACGTTATTAATTTTCATCAGGGGGGCTAATAATCCTTATTAATGACCCACTAATAGTCATTAATTTGTATTAGAGACCTATTAATGCTATTAACGGCCCTAATAACGGTATCATAGCAGCTAATAACTCCGTTTTTTCGCGGAATTTGGCTAATTAGGGGTTAATTAATTAGGGTGTGGGTGGTGGCGATGGTGGGGCTGAGCCTGGCGTGGCTGCCGGTGGTGGAGGCGGCGCGGGGGGGGCAGCTCTTCGATTACATCCAGGCCATGGCCAGTTACCTGGCCCCGCCCGTCGCCGCCGTCTTCGTCCTCGCCGTCTTCGTCCCCCGCGTCAACGAGCCCGTGAGTTAATTAATTGGGGGGGTTAATTAATTGGGGGTTAATTATTGGGGGTTAGTTATTTGGGGGATTGATTATTGGGTGAAATATTTGAATTATTGGGTGGAAAATGGTCGATTATTGGCTTTTAATGGGGGGTCAGGGGGGGATTACGAGCCCGTGAGTCGCCCCTTGTTAATTAATTGAGGGGTTAATTAATGGGGGGGTTAATTAATTGGGTGTTAATTGGGTGATTAATTATTTGGTGATTAATTATTGGGTGATTAAATGGGGGGAAAATGGTCGATTATTGGCTCTTAATGGGGGTCAGGGGGTGATGACGAGCCCGTGAGTCGCCCCTTCTTAATTGGGGGATGGTTAATTAATTGGGGGTTAATTATTGGGGGATTAGTTATTGGGTGATTAATTATTTGGTGATTAATTATTTGGCGATTAAATGGGGGAAAATGGTTGATTAGTGGCGTTTAATGGGGGGTCACAGGGTGATGTCGAGCCTGTGAGTCACCCCTTGTTAATT